AGATGCTCAGCTAAGAACATTGGGTTTTGCTTTTGTTTGGAAGGGAAAAGTGGGTTTCACCCCACTCCTGCCGTTCCTCACCAGCTCCTGATTTCCTTCTTCTAGGATATTTCCTGAGCCATGAGGCTGAGGCCAACAACTCCATGCTGAGGAATGAAATAATTTATTAAGTACCAGTTCTCCTTGCAAAAGACAGCATCAGAGGAGCAACAATTGGTTATCAACCTTAACTATAGCAAAGCAGCCACACTGATGTGAAAGTGAGAGGTGTGGTTTGCTGTCAGCAATATGCCTTGAAGGGTGGCAACATCACTTCCATAAAAGTGCCTTTTCCTCTTCTGATGATTTCTATTCCCCATGTGCTGATGTCGGTGGTTTCATGCTTGAGGTTATCATTTCCTAGAAGTGAGCTGAGCAAGCCTATCTCTATGGGCTGTCACTGGGAGCAGGAATGGACCTGACTAGGAGATGAGGTTTGCTGCAGAGTAGGCAGAAGAGGGATGGGAGCCTGAAGAGCTTCCCAAAGCTGAGCTTTAATGCTAGCACAGCACATCTGTTTTACAGGACAGGTGCTTTGAGTTAATTCTGTACAGGCTGCTGTCAGGGATGCTTCAAGTCTGTGTATATAGCTGCTCACATGTCTGCTCTTTGCATTCATTGAGTAAGGGGCATAGGGTGTTTACAGGTTAATGAATTTTCAAGCTGAAGTGTTTGCTGATAGCATTCAGGGCATGGAAATTTGGTCCAGAAACCTTATCAGAGACAAACCATCTTGTGGTGTCCTTCTGTGGAAGATCAAGTATTAGCTCTTTAATTTGTTTACAGTGGTAGACCTACAGTAACATATTAATGTGCATGCAACTAATTGGGATGTGCCCCAATACAAGGACAATACTGAATAATAAACCTCTTTAGGAATGTCCTTCTGAATGATCTGCTGGCTACCTGCATAGTTCAATGTCTGAAATTACAACCACCCTGAACCCCACCTAACCCCCGAGGTTCTCTAGCACAAAGAGGAGGTGAGGACAGGCTAAAGACCACCTAGCCTGGCTGGATGGGTTGTGGGCATCCACCTGGGCAGAGGGGATCACAGCAGCACATACAGTGACTGCCTTGCCCAGTGTATTACTGCGCTCTGAGGGTGGCCTGCTGAGCCAACCCTGAGCATTCCACTGTGCTGCAGAGGCCAAGCTGGGATTAATTCACCTCAAAGAGCAGGTTGAAACTGTTAAAATACTTTGCAGGTGGTTCCTTGAACTCATGGTGCAGCTGGATCCAGCCTAAAGGGCAGTAAAACCCCCCCCCCAGGGGGGGGGGGGGGGGGGGGGGAGAAGAAGCAAGTTCTGATGAAATACAAATTAAAATAACTCATGGAAGGGAAAAAAAATCTGTTTTCAATCTCTACAACAAAGCCAAGCAACGCATCAAGTTGGAAAGGAGAGATGTCAGCCAGGCAGCGCTGGGGATTTTATTGCTTTAACACAAGTGTTTCTCCGTGGCCCTAGGTGCTGCCCCAGCAGCTGGGAGGTGGCACACAGGGATACGAGGTCTCCAAGGACCTCATGTTTGTGGGCAACACCAGGGATGAGGAGGGACGTGAAGTGGGGGTAAATCAGTCCCCAGGCAAAGGTGGATTTTGCTCCCATGTGGGTCCAAGCTGCAGCTTTGTTTCCATGCCCCAACACAAATAAGGTCTTCAGGTTTTGCATGTTGGTCTCAAACTCTCTTTTGTGTGGAAACTCTCCAGGCACTACAGCATTCCTTGCCACTAGAGCTGAATCCTCTGGTGAGTTTGTTGTTTGTTTTTTTTTTTTTTCTCCTTCATGGTTGGGCAGTCAGTGTGATGCTAGGGGGGCTCCAGCAGGCAGTGAGTGAAGGAACATGCCAGACCTTACCTCTCCAAGAGCTGCCAGTGGGCAGATCTCTCACAGCATGCCTTGGGATCCCTTGAATTCAGTGGTGCTCCCTAGATGTGCATGTGCACTGAAGATGTTGGTCTTCCTGTGGAGAGAACAATGCAAAACCAAAACTGTCCCAAGCTGATCATGAGGATATTTTGCTCCACAAGATCTTGTGCTCAGCAATAAAAGGTCAGGCGAAGGAGAACAAAAGGGAGATGGTGGTGGTTGTAGCATTTGTTCTCCCAAACAACTATCACGCGTGCTGATGTCCTGCCTTCCAGGAAGTGGCTGTGTATCTGCATGCTGATGGGAAGTAGAGAATTAATTAATTCCTCTTTCTGCCTTGCTTGCACACACAGCTTTTGCTTTTCCCACCAAACTGTCATCATGTCAGGATCCTTCCTTCTTGCTTTCTTTCTCTTTTCTCCCATTCCATGAGAGAAAAGTGTGAGCAAGTGGCTGGGCAGGCATTTGACTGGTAGCCATGGCCAACTCACCACCAGCGCTGACTGGGATGTCAAAACTCGTCAACCTAATTCAGTCTGAAAAGAGGAAAAGATAGAAAAATCATGTGAGACAAGGAAAATTAAATAAGCAAGTTTATGAGCAAACCTACTGCAGCAGAAGCCACCTCTGGTCACTGATGGCTTTGTGGTGTGCATGTGCCAGATGTTTCGTGTCAAACTGCATCTGTGTTTCTGTGGGAGAGCAGTGTAGTCTGTGGACAGGATTACTATGTTTTTGGAGCCTTTCTGCAGAAACATGAATACAAGTGTTGGGATGTGGAGTAACCATCAGCTTCCTTGGGTGTCACTCTCATTTCAATCTAGAGGCAACTGCCAAAATGGTGGAGGCTGCTGCCTTGGTTTTCCCAATGCAGAGCCTGTTTATGGCCCCACCTTTTCTTTTCCTCATACTTGGAGGATCACCAAAACCCCCTGAATTCTGCCTATTTATGCCTAAGACAGTTCAGAATCCACTAGATGAGTCTGGAAACTCTTCTATGCTGAAAGATAGAAACATCTCTGAGCTAGAATATCATCTTATTGGGGGGGGAGAGGAGGGAACCAGAATGACTTGAAGTCACAGACTGAGTTATTTAGGATGAATTCTTGCTCTTCATCATCAATTACCAATGGGCCCACGACATTGCTGCAGATATAGTCCATCCACAAAACTCAGTCCGGATACAGTGCACCTTTGCAATGAGGGCTCGAATGAGCATCTTCATCTGAGCACATACTACTAGCAGCACAGCATGGGAAGGGCCAGGGTGAACTGCAGAACTGCAGGCCTTTCCCTAAGACGTTGGCAGAGCCTTTCAGAAGGGGCAGAAAGAGCATCAGGATGAGGAGGTTGATGCAGGCATGGCTCATAATGTGCTGGAAAGTGCTGTTCTGTTATTAATCCTGCTTCAGTAAGTCCTTAACCCGCGACAACTATGCTGAGTCAGCAGTTTCTTTTACTTTTGTTCTTTCTTTCCTGAATTAGTAATGTCAGTTGCACAATCAAAGTCAGTCTTTCTCTGCAGCCAGTGATGGTGCAACAAGAAACAAAAGATAGCAGAAGGCAAGAGGTGGTAGAGGCCAAGTGAACACATGATCTTTGATGCCAAGGGTATGGCCAAGACACTCTCTGCCATGTGCACAAGGAAATCTGCCACTGGTTTGCAGAGGCTGACATCCAGATGTGTGCAAACTGCAATGTCCCCAAGCAGAGATGTGCAAATGTAGCCACATGCAAAACTGTATGGGACATAATTCAATAGAAATATGGGTAGGATAAAGCTTTATCATCTGGATGGGCAACTAAGGATGGTAGGCAGAACTGGGTGGGAATGTGGTTTTGCTGTTGACTTTACTGAAATAGCCAAGTGGAGAACTGAACATTGAATCAGGGCATGTTAGGACTGCCAAAATATGTTCCCCTAATCTAAATCCTGTGTCACGCCACTGAGAATGGTTCAGCCACAACACAGCTATGAGTGGTGGGAAGATATATGCCTGATCATGGCCCAGCAATAGTAGTGACTTCAGGCTGTTTCAGCCACCCTAACTCATGGGAGTAGCTTAGCCCTTCACCATGAAGCAAACATCCCAGTTCCTGTGCAGCATGTAGCAGAATGTTACTGTAGGGGAGATCTTCTCTTCCTCCCTCTTGGTGCCAACCCAGGTCATAACTGAGTGTTTGAAAGGAGAACACAGAAGCGAATTTCAAAATCTCCACTTATTTTTGGTTTAAGCCTTTTAGAGTGCTATGTTCCAAGTGCAGAAGCAAGGATCTCTCTGCACTGGGCTGTCTGGCTGTGGATTTCCAGCTCCACTCCGCACAAAGCTGAGGTTGCTCTTTCTCCCATGGCCACACAAAGTAGCAAGGTCTCAGCAGTCACACAGCTGAGCGAGGACCCGCAGCCATGGACAGGGCCTGGTGATAGTGGCTCATCCACAGCTCAGAGGGGACAGCAGGCAGTGTAGAGTGGGTGCCCTGCCCATTACCCACTGATAGCTCTTGCTTGCTGGTTTGGGTGAGTCACTTTCCTCCACACAACGTAAACTGGTCCTGGCACAGATTTCGGAGATGGTGAAATGTAGGAGTGATACATACAGAGTGTGAGAGAAGCAGCAGTCAGGTGGTGGGAACTGTGTCCATGAGTTGAGGAATTGGTTCAAAGAGTCCTCGGCAAGAAGCTGTGTTCCGCAGTGACCGATTCAGGTGTCAGCACCACCCATCCACCACCACCTGTCTTTGCAGCTCCTCCTGATTCTTCATCTCCTCTTTCAGTCATGCACTATCATTTTGCTGTACACTCATGTGGGTTTAATTACCATGTAGTGCTTCACCTCACCTTACAGAGGACAGATCCTGAAGGTAACGCTGAACTAGGGATTTCCTTTCCTTAGGAAGGAGGCTCACTTGCAATAGAAATCACCTCGTGCCCAACCCTGAAGTGCAGAGATACTGAATCACTTGTTGCTGAGCTTCTTTCATAACCACAGCCCTGTGGATGTGGTAGCTCCGAGCAAGGACGTGAGAGCAGCTGAACATCTTAGCTTGTGGGATTTTTTTGAGGAACCATTCAAATTACCACATCAGAGTTCTCACAAGTCTATAAAAACTAAGCAGATAGGAAAAGGCTATCAGAAAGCGTATCAAAGCAGGAGGCAGATAAAGTTCCTTCAGCTCTCCATTGCCCTCCATCTGAAGAGGCTCTGTGTTAGCCACATTTGTCATGAAAATTAAAGACAGATGCAGAGGAGATGGAAATTCAAGTGATATGAGCACCTTCAGTATTTCAGACAAGACTGGGTTTGCCTCAGCTGCTACTACAACCTTTCAGATAAGTGGTAAGCTTTCTTTTTATTAAATGGATTGATGTGGATTTTATTGGGTCTATGAAGAAAACCACATAAAAATGAAATATTGTATTTGTATTGAAAATGAAATGCTTTTTTAACAGAGATTTTGCTATTAAATTAACTGACCATTTAAAAAGAGTTTAATTGTTCTTTCCAAATAAGGTTGATGTTGAGAATCTGAATATAGTTCTCCTTCCCTGCTTCAAAAAATGTCCAATTGCACTCAGACAATTTCCATGTCCTAATAGTTAAGATACTGAAATCACCAGATCCAATTAAAAAAAAAAAATTTCTCAATTTTTAGCTGAATATAAATATTTTATTGCTGACTAAACCATCCTATTGGAAAACTAATTAAGCCATTGTATTCTTCTGAAGCTACAACTTTAAACTACTCATTACATTGCTTAGGGAAAAAGCCTTCAATTAAGGGTAAATTGTTGCATGTCTGAAGTAATTATTAGGTCTTCTGAAATACTTTTTCCCTATACGGCAAAATTAGACGAAGTATTCCATTTCTTTTACGCTTGCTGGTGACGATTTGCTTTAAATGTTACAACCTGTTTCCATTTGCTCTGCAGCTCAGTTTGTTATTGATTTTTCATTTGTTTTGATGCATACACGGATCACTGTTGGCGACACACATATGTGGTGCTCTAGGGAGGCAGAACTTGTACTTTGAGCAACCCTCCGTGAGTGGCAGCCTGGGACATATGTATAGGAGGAAGGTAGGGTTCATTGGTGCAGAAAGAGGCGAAGTGCCATGCTCACACTGTCACAGGCTGGGTTAGGTCTAGACGGTAGTAAGCAGGTTAGGGCAGCTAAGGGAAAGATGCTGACAGTGGATCACAATGCACAATCAATGCAGGAGGCAGAGGCAGGCAACCTGTCTGGCTTATCACAGACCTTGCAGGAGGGTTTAGGGTGCTGAGCCTGAAAGGGCTATTTCTGTCCTATTTTCGTTGATTTGTAGAACCTCAAATCCGGAGAAAGCCATCCACATGCTGTGCTCGGACTACCCTTGTCATCTACCTGCTGCTGCTGACAGTTGGCCAAGTGCTGTTGGCATACAAAGGTATGTGTCCACCCTATGGAAGCCTGGGCAGTTTTGCTGGCTGCTCTGGGACAGCACAAGTGTGGGTGATGAGCTCAGAGATGAGAAATCTCTGCAGGAGCACAGCTGCGCAGAAGGTAAAGTAGCTGCTGCAGGAAGCTCATCCCCCAACCCTTATGTTACATCCATCTGGGCCCAAATATCTACACTCCTGGCTGACTGAGCAATTCCCAGCCAGATCGAGCTGTATATTCATTGCACGGACATTTCGTTTCCAGTGTTTAAGATGAAGGAGGAGATACTGAAATGTCAGGAAAATAATGCCTTCCATGCTGAAGAGATGATAGGAAGATCCTATGCTGACAACCTTCTTTTGGAGAAAAACTTCACAGAGAGGGACATGGGACGTGAAGAAAACTGGAGGAGACGCTTAGAAAAGGAAATCGCCGTAATTAAAAGCAGCAATGCAAACTTGATGATGATGATGAGCAACATCACCCTGCTTGCAGGTATGGTTCAGTTTCTTCTTGGTGACTGTATGGAGGGAAGAAATGGCTCTTCTGCACCACCTGCTTAGCCAGGGGAAATCTAGTTCTGAAGGAATAACTACAGCAAGATTTGGTCTCGCTGTCAGGTAGTTAGCAATGCTGCAGTGCATGGGGTCCTTACTACAGAAAAATAACTACTAAATATTTATTTCAGGGCGTCCTGGATACAAAGGAGAACCTGGTCCACCAGGTATGTGGGTAGATGAGGCATAAACAACTTTGCTTCTTTTCCTCTCTCTTCTACTTTTTTTCCCCTGAGAGATGTAAGATGAAGATTTGGGATTTCAGTTGCTAGATCCAGATCCTACAAAATGTACAAATCCCCAGTGCGTTGTCACAGGGAGACCTCCTGCACATTTTGACTGATTTCCTGGATGCTCTGGCTTGCCTGAGTGCTCCCAATGGTTGTTGCTGACCGTGGTTTTGTCTCCATCTTCTCACTGCCACCCTGACAGAAAAGCTCAAGGGTGACGGAGAAATCCATGGCTGGTCATTATCTGCAGTAGCCATCCCAGATCCCCATCTGAGGTAAGAAAGGACCACGGAGGGGATGAACATTTATAAAGGGTTTATGTGCATCCCACCACTGGGTTTTCTGCCCCAGACATAGCAGGTCCTGCTGCACAACTCTAGCACAATTCACATGCAATTCCTGAGTCCCTGCTCTTTAGGGGCCCCATATCTGAACCAAACAATGCATGTAGTGAACACTGACTGATTTGGGATGGAACAGTACCAGCCATAGGAGATAAATGTCTCCAGTCTGTGAGAATGCAGCAAGATCTGATCTCGTGTTGGCTCTGTGCTGAGAAGAAGTTGGACTCACCATTTTCCTAAGAAATTCAAGTTCCTGTGATCCTGTAATGACCTAAAATTCATCCCTTGTTAGGTCAGGTCTGTATCTCATCCATTCTTAGTTCTTGGCTATGTTGATGAGCTTTTCCAAAGGAAAAAAAAAAGAAAAGATTTTTTTAAAAATAATTTTTCCATGTCTTCCTGGCTGCATTTACAATGCTGAAACACCATATCCTGCCAAACACTAATACTGTTCATCACAGCCCAATAGCTCAGTGCCTGTTCAAGAAAGATTACCCCAGATGTCTGTGTGAGCAGGCAGGTGGCCTGGCTTGGCTGGAGCACAGTTGGCTCTACCCAGCACACCCAGCCCAGCTCCATGGACCTTTCTTGGGTGCCTGCACTCACCTCTGTCAGCTGTACATCAGTGGTGACCAAAGGCACATGTACAAAAGACAATTTAAAAATTCATCTCTTCATTATTCATTATTACAAATAGATGATGTGTATCAGCTGATATATGTGTCTCACATCTCAGGGCTACGGGGACCACCAGGACCACCGGGGATAAAGGGAGACCGAGGAATTCCAGGTAAGTCTTTTCCAATCTCTGCGGATGAGCATAACGTGGCTTTATGGATTATTTTATGGGCGGTCTTGTCTTCGGTCGAGATGTAAGTCAGCAGGAATGTCATTGGAGTTGAACGAAATAAGCCTATGTAAAACCAATGTGAACAAAAGCAAAACTCTGCTGGGAAAATTCTAGTTTTAAAAGTGAGTTTTTAGAGCCATTGCACTGGCTATGGCAGATAGATGTCCTCTGCCCTGGCACATCTCTCAGGCACACGAGGAGCAGAGTGCCTCGTGTTGTGTGGCCTCCTGCTGATGTTCATGAGACATGATACCCAATGCAACATCATAGGTATGATGTTGTCCCTGCAGGCTTACAGGGCAGTAAAGGAGATCGTGGTCCCACCGGTCCAAGGGGTGAACAAGGAGAAAAAGGAATAAAAGGACAAGCAGGAATTCCAGGTAAGACATCTCTGGAGGCATTTAAGGCCAGGCTGGATGCAATGCTGGGCAGCCTGATATTGAGATCCCAACCTCATGGCAGGGGTTGGAACTAGATGATCTTTAAGATTCCTTTCAACTTAAGCCATGCTATGATTCTATGATTCTTCACTGTCTCAGCAATTTATTCCTGTTTAAATTGGTTATACTTGAAACATCAGATCAGATCTTCGCAGGTCCCATATTTCATAAAAATGTAGGCAACCCTGTGAGTGGCATGCCAGTCCATGAGAGGACTCTTGGCCTGATCTGCGGGAATTTCATTTTGGGGTTTGCTCCAGGGAAAGGAGACATGGAAAATGTTGATTCTACACCATGGAACTGTCCTTATAAAGTTACTTTTGTCTAAGGAAATCCTGAATTAACAGCCTATTCCAGATTAGAACCATAGCATTTTCATTCATAATAATAATACAACATAATTTACGTGCAGAAGCACACGTTAGTTCTCACTACAGTAAAACCTACTTCTGAGAAATTTATCTCGTTATACATAAGCTTGGCTTTTAATCACCTTAAGTACAAGAGTCATGTACCATGTTTCTCCCCTGCAGCACATATTAGTGAATAAGCAACATTCAACACTCTCAGCTGGGATGCACCCGGAAAGGAAAGGTTGAATGCAGCACAGCAAAATCAGAAGCTGTTCATGGTGCAGCTGAGGAAGGACATTTGGACGAGCTGGCTAGAGATTCCTTAGAAGTAAATCATCAGAACCCACACGCACCAGAGCTAGTACAAGCTGGTCCAGATCAAAAAAAGGGAAGTAGGAGAAATAGCAGAAGACGAGGTCTTAGGGATAATTCTGGAGCAGAAGGGTGAAGGAGATATCACTCTTTAAATGAAACACTTTTAAGTAATTCAGCTCTATTTGAAAATGCAGAGAAGCTTAAGGGCAGTTTTGATAATTGCTTGAAAGCACAGGAGTAGCATAAAATGTCCTCCATTTCCACCACAGCTAGGGGAAGGAAACATTATAGACAGCTGTAATGGAGATTTAACTAGAGAAGAAGACTACTAGTGCCAGAGATACTTTGGGAATAGCCTGGGGAGTTGCAGTGGGATCATTTACCAACGGTAAATGTGGGTGTGAGGCCTATCTCTGATGCAGATGGAAGGGGGTGCTCTCTGGTTTCTGAGACAGTGAAAATTTGATGATGGCGATGATGATGATGATTTACACTTCCTGTGCTGCTTGGTAGGTCATGTAGGGCAGAAAGGTGAAATGGGCCAGAAGGGCGATCCAGGCAACCGCGGATCCATGGGTCCTCCAGGAAACCAGGGAGTGCCAGGACAGCCAGGCTTCAATGGTAAGTGCAGAGGTGCAGACACAAAACAACTTGCAGTCAACGCACACGTGCTGTGGTGCAGGACTGCCCTAGCTGAAGCATTTGGCTAAATCCTGCCAGCACTGATGCTAGGATGTTGTTACAGGTAGTGTGGGAGAGCCCGGACGTCCTGGGCAGAAAGGAGAAGCAGGTAAGCAGAAAGGGGGTGCAGCTTCCTCTATGGGTATGAGACTGATCTCTCTAAGACCTCTTTAAGACTGGTGTTGCCAGGGGAGACGTGTTATTTGGAAAGACACTGTTTGTGTCCTGCCTCCATAGGGACAACCCAATCTGCACAATATGGGGTTTGTGACAGAGCTATATTTAATTTTCTTTCTTCATGTTTTGGCTGCACTTCACATATGCTGTTGTTTATCACCTCCAAGGCCCAGCTGGAGAACGTGGCCTCCCAGGACCTCCTGGCCCCAGCAGTCCTGGGGTGAAGGGGGAGAAAGGGGACCTCGGGCCCAAGGGCTCCCAAGGTACCAAGCTACTGACATCCATACCCTGTGGTCCTCCTGCACTGGCCTCGCTTTGTGTGATGGCTTCACCTTTGCTGATTTACTTTTAATTTCAGGAATGCCAGGCAGTATTGGACCCAAAGGTGAAAAGGGAGACAAAGGAGTTCCAGGTAAAGAAGAATAAAAAGGTCTGCAATCAAACGCATGCATTATGCAAGGTGGGAGGGGGGAATCAAAGCAACAAGGACAGCAACTTGAGTACTGCTCTCTGGGCCCCATGAATCCCAGGACGTGATGGTGAGCACAGGCCGCTGTCAGGCTGCTGTGGGGTAACTGCTCTTTGGTGGGTTTGTTTCAGGCATCTGCAACACGTACTAGGAAGTGATGTTGCCTGCATTTTTACATGAATGGAAAATGCACAAACAAAGCCATAATTTAAGATGAACAAAAAAAAAAAAAAAAAAAAAAAACAAAAACAAAAACAGCCAAAACAAAAACAACAACAACAACAACAAAAAACAAAAACAAAAAAAAAACAAAAACCGAACAACAACTTCCATAAGCAAGCATTAAAAATGAATTTTACAGGCTGTAAATCTGATGGAAAGCTGACTAACGAGCCCATGCCTTGGACTCCTCTGTAGCACTGCAGGCAGAGGTCTCTTAAGAGGCCAGCTAAGGAGTACTTAGCCAGACCTATTCTTTGACCTTCCAACTGAAGTAGTCAACCTCGCTACCCTGGGCACCCAAAAACCCAGGGTAATGTTCTGGTGTATTTCCTTTTTCACTCTGAATTTATGTAGTGCACACTGTCAGGTCCAAGTGCTGGACCCTCCTGCATGCACTGACACCTGGATGCCAGGGAGTCACCTGGCCCAATATTATGCGCTTGCATGTCTGCTGCACCTGAATTTATGTGCCTAAGCTCTCTATGAGGTCTGTGAAGGCTATCTGAGAGCAGAGTCTTTGTGCTATCAGTGAAATTTAAGGTGTGATACAAATGACCAGAAATCAATTTACTTCAGAAGATAATTTACACCATCTTTATTTTCTGAATGGGTGAAGTCTGCCTTGAGTACAATGGGAAGTAAGACTCCTACTTGACTAATAGATGCCTGTAGTGCAGACAGTTAATGTGGACTGGGTGAAATCCATAATAAATACACATTTGCATAAATGTTTTTAAATTATATAAGCATGTAACTTTTTTTTTTTTATGATCCTAGGTACTGTAGGGCCAAAAGGAACAAAGGGAGACCAGGGCCCACAAGGTAAACATTCATTTGACAGCATTAAATATTCTGATGATGATTAAGAACAGTACTTTAGATGTCATGTTCCAATTCTCTACATCAATACGAGATGCTTATCATGCTCCTCCTTTTCCATTTGGGAAAGGACAATGACATTTCTGCTTTCCATACAGGCATCCAAGGTCCAACTGGTCAAAAAGGAAGCAAGGGTGATTATGGCAGTAAAGGTCTAAAAGGTGAACCAGGTGTAAAAGGAGCCAAAGGAGACCCAGGAAACCCAGGTAAGGCTGTTTGCCATGTTGTGTCTGTGGAGCTCGTGGGCTTGGAAGCATATGTCGCAGATACGGCACAGATTGGCACCAGCTACTCTGGAGCACGTTTACAGGAAGAACTCAACAGAGAGATGGGTCTTTCCAGAGGGTGAACCTGAGGTCTTTTGCATTTACACCTTGGGTACCTTACTAAAGACATGCAAGTAAACAGATACATTGGATTTTCTCAACTCCACCCTCTCCTCTGTAGTCTACAAAGACATCTTGCAATATATACTGTGCCAATGGGATTTACATGGCACTTGGGAACACAAGGACATTTAACAAAGCCTCTCTAATTGCAGAATAATTAAAAGCAAAAAACAAACAAACAAAACAAAAAAAAAAACAACAGTTCAAAAGGGCCAACACTACAAAAACTCAAAATCCTTATGCTCTTCCTTTACAATCACAGAATGCTTTCCAAAACCCTAAGACCTGTATTTAAAAAGATCACGCTAAACAGTATAAGAGCCCTCAGACAAAAAGCAACCTGCAACCTCTCTGGGGCTCCTACGTGCATTCCTCTCCTGGAGCTCTGCCTCTGGAAGAGGGGTGGTGGAGGAGGAAAAAGTCTCTGGGTGATTTTCAGCTTTCATTTCCTGGAAGGAGGTTGCAATATGTGCTTTGTGAGAGTAGCTTTCTGGGTAAAGAGCTCCTATCTTTTCAAGCACATGCACTCTCAGGACAAGAGTTAACCTGCAGTGGCTAACAGTGTATCCATATGTGACCCACTCAATTACTCAATAAAAAGCAATAGCAGGATATTTCCCCAAGCAACAGTCAAAGAATTGCTTGTTTTTCAATTTGGAACAGATTTTCCAGAAATGAAAAGGGACATAGGGGAACAGGGAGGAGATACTGGACTTTTCTTTCTTCTTCTGCCACCTGACTCTGGTATCAAAGCTACCTGAGATCAAGTACACACTGGTTAACCACCAACACAGCTACCGGAGCAATGAGAGCTGGGCTGAGCAATTTCACTGAGTTCAGTCTCTGGAGACAAGACAGGGCCCTGAAATATTCAGATCTGATATAAAAGTAACTTCTGGTCCTACTCCAGCTGCAGCAATGGAGCTGGGAGCATTCATGTAGTCTAGGCAGTCACTGCTTCCATCTTTCCATGTGCTATTTGCCTCCTGCCAATATGACTAATGCAGTTATTTTTGTCTCCTCTGATCCATCAGGTTACTACAACAACATACGAATCGCAGGAGGGGGCAGGAGGGGTCGCGTGGAAATCTTTCACCAAGGCTCCTGGGGAACGATATGTGATGATGGCTGGGACATCCAGGATGCCTCTGTAGTCTGCAGAATGATGGGGTACAGCCGTGCCATCTCTGCCTTCACTGCAAATGGAGGTGAGTCTTCAGCAGGCTGGGTTGCAAGACTATCTGCCTGGTTGGGGGATAATGCATGCCCTGCAAGAACCACAGTGAGGGGCTCTACGTAAGCAATATGAGAGCAAAGAGGATGGATTCAAACGGGAAGCTCAGTCCTCTAGGGACTAGCCTACATGTCATGTGCTGCTTGAGCTGTGCCAAAAAGCTTGGTTTTGAGTTTACCAATGTGCAACCCAACACATGCATTTGGAGGAGAGCATACTACCATTTCTTCTGTCCAGTGGTGACTGTTTCTTCTGTTATTCGTTGCATTTATTTTTCTTATTTCTTTTCCCAAAGGCACTGGGCAAATTTGGCTTGATGACGTGAACTGCAGAGGGAGTGAACATTCTATTTACCAGTGTAACAAATCTGACTGGGGCACACACAACTGCTCCCACAATGAGGACTCTGGGGTGGAGTGTATCTAATGGGACATAGGGCTGACCTAGGAACCGCTGCCCCCTCGTGTGCTCTGCAGAACCCCTGTTCATTGCATCCATCCAGCTTCTTCACACAGGGGGAACTCCATTTTCCATAAATCAGCAAAAATAGCAAGACACAAATAATGTGAGGCATCCCAGCTGTCAGAAATCAGCAGGAGCTCAGACGTGATCAACTGCACGGCTTTGCCACCTGCCTGGCAGTAGCCCACCTGCAGCAGCTGTAGAGTTTCTCTGCTTTAGCTCAGTGCAATAGGAGGGAACAAGAGAAGCCTGCAGAATGAGCTGCAGCTTAGCTGGCCAGCCTTTAACACAGTGCTGTTGTCAATCTGGCCTAAAGCCCATTGTAAAGACCATGTACTCAAGACAGAAATCATTAAATGATCTTTTTTGGTACGCAAACACAAAGTTCTTCAGATGAGATGATGATCACAGGTCAAAATGCAACCATACCAGCATGGAATCCAGTTTTAGCACAGATCTTGTGTTTGACCTTGGTGAAGTCTCCTGCCTTCTCTGACAACGTTTCCTAACTTGTTTCCCAGAAACAAAACCCTCACCTTAGAAATGAGATCCACTAAAACAAAGAGATAATGAGTAAAAGCAATAAGGATGAAGTATCAACTAATTATCCTTTCACAGTGAAACTATGGTCCCTAAACCAAAGGCTTCTGCCTTAAATGAAAGTCTTATGTGTCTGAGATAATAAGTGAAAGACTTCTCTTTCTTAAAGCCTAAACTCTTCCCCTTTTTAACAGCACTGGGCATTTGGCAGGTGACAAGAAGCCTGTACATAAACAGCTGTGCACATTGCAGCAACCCGCTTGCTAACAGTGTATTTAACATGTCAGAAATGGCTGTAAGCAACCCCACATCTCTGCATCAACATTAGCCACAACTGCATTTATCTACACAGCTTCTAGAATCAATTTTGGTGCTCACAAACCCAGATCTAAGTGGAAAAGCTGAGTGGTGCTGGTAAGAACAGCAGGTGACCATATGTAAATAAAGTACTGTCACTGCTAGGGAATAAAACATTTACAAGCTGTATTCTTTCTGTCTTGTCACAGCTGCAGGTGCTGCTTGCATTCCCATTTCCTCACTTTGCTTGCTAACGTAAGATGTTCCGCATTAGGCAAAACTGCCATAAAAAGGAAAGTCGCCATGTATCCAGTGGTGACCCTTAAATCCTCCAAAATCTCATTTCTGGACAATAGGCAGCTGGGAAATAGCTGCTGTGCCACAATAAAGGTCAATCAGCAAGGGTTATATGTATACACTTCCAGATGCCAGAAACAAAATTTCAAAGTCCACCTTTAGCAGATTCACACGTTCACACTAAATTCCCCCCTTTAAATTCAGATTTCAGACAGGCAGTTCTTCCTCTGGTATAAATTGTGATACTCACTGCTACGCTGTGTTTTGGCTGACCAAGAAAAGCCCTTATTTGACTGAAAAAAAAAAAAAAATGGATTTCACTCAGAACTCCAAGACAAAACTAGAACAAGAAGATATAAGTTATCCAAACAGCAGGTAATATATCAGATAAGCACTTTGCAGATCACCAAAAGCACAAGTGAGCTGTAACAGAAATGCTAAGTCATGGTTTGAGCCAGTAATTGAACACCTAGTGGAAAGGCAGGGCCAACCCAGGGGAACTCAGGTGCATGCAATGTTCCTGTGTGACCAAAAGAGCTGGAGCCAGGATCCACCTCTTCCCAGACCTCATTTAAGTGTTGGCAGAGGGTGGTGCAGGTATCTCTCTGGAGATCCTTGCCTACCTGAGGCTTTCTGAAGGTTAGCAGCTTCTTTCCCTTATTTTTGCGTCTACAGCTGTTGTGTTTAAGTGAATCCTCGCTTGCTGCAGCCTGGGATCTTTCTGCTCTGCTGTCATCACTGTGCTTTCCATCATGTTACACTGGCCGTACACCAGCACCTAGACCATAGCCAGCCTGCTGTGACACCATACCCCATTACAGCTGACAGAGGTTTATTATTGACTAAAGATGCTGCTTCCCGACACTAAGTGGAGCTCAAGGGCTACCACCCACCCTGCTTCCGCTATGCTGGCACTGCACAGCCTCCAGTTGTCCCAGACCTGGCCATGCTATGCCCTGGTGAATGTGTTTCGAGTACCAGCATCCCTCCCTGCTTCTTTTCTCCTTACAGCAAGCCTTCACTCCCACATCCTGCATTCCAATGGGAACCAGAAGGGACACAAATGTGCTTGTTCCCTTTGACAGGCTATAGTACACACACTTGGAACCCAAGCAGTCAGCCTAAAGTTGTGAGATAAGGTGAGGATTCCCAGTGACCCAAGTTGCATCCAGCCAGTCCTCCCAGAATAGTATTTTGAAAAATAAAAACTGAAAAAATGCCTCCTGTGATTCACTTTCTGGTGTGTTTTGGTCTGACCTGATTTGAAGTGCACTCATGTTCCCACATCTGCTTTTCCAGCCCAAGGGAAAGCTTATTAGGGTAGGAAAAGTGTTGCATGTCACCATGTGATTGATGCTTAGGAGTGAAAAACCCTCATATCCACAAAAACATATAGGCCTGAGGTCACCTTACATGGCCACATCCTCTTCCTCACCAACACATGGCTCAGTGCTTTCAGTCCCAACTTTCAGGGCTCCCAAAGAACCAGCCTCATCTCATGGTCGTTGTCTACAACAGCCAGCAAAGAATTGTACAGCTGTGCTTATCGTTCCCTCCCAGCACCAATTAAAAAGATTTAGTTAAGCAAAATTCAATTACACTGTCATGCATAAAAGGGATACAATTAATTGAAAGGAATAGTTTCCCTTAGGATTGCTGTTATTTCCAGATGCCTGTCCCTGACCACTTCTTGTCCAAAGAAGTAAAGATGCGGGACAGTTTGGATCATCCCTACGTCACCAACTCACACATATTTCCTACTGGGGAGAGCAAGCAATGGTCAGAGACCATTAGGTAAACAAAATGATGTGCAGATTTCACAGCACTGGAGCTTTAGATCACAGAAGACCATGCTGAGAATATGTTTTAATAAGTCAGGAGTATTGATTCAGCCATATCTCAGTGTTGGCATAGCTGTCAAACCACAAAAACAGCAACATGCAGAGGAGGGCTGCAGGTTACCAGTGGGGTATGATGGGAGGCTGAATGCGATATTTATTGCCTCAACAGAAGTCACACGCAATTCAAAGTACCACCCAGGCACACAGGGATGCTGAAAAGCAAAACATTTCTAACTAAAAGTCAGTTCCTTTGGGTTTTATAGCCTCAGGTTTATGCTGAACACATCCATTACACATCTCACCCTAGCAAAATTAATAATAATTCCAGGTGAAACTGTAAAAAGGCAATTTCATTTGTTCACAGCTAAGATATCATTCTGTCTGAGGGTTGTTGTTCTTTTTAAAAGTACATTAAAGCCATCATATTAAATGTCAGGTGTAATAAAAGAATCCCTTCTCTTCTCATCTTAGAGAGGTAAAAAATTGAATATGCATGCTGGGCATATCTAAAGATCAAGCTCATCTTGTAATATGTGGGTCACTAATTGTATTTTCATCCCTCTCTTCCAAAGTCTTCTGTTGCTTGTGAATTAGAGTCAGAACTCATCAGCACAAATCTGTGGACATGTTCCTTAGCTTTTTCTGCTAAACATAATGGTTCTCTTCCATTTTTTCCATTTTTCTCCATTTCTTCCAACCAGCCTGAGATGTAAGGCTCTGCTCCAAGGGAAGGGGCCAGGCTGGCTCCCACTGGCATTGGTGCAAAGTTGGATGGATACATGTCAGTGCAGGCAGCTGCTATGCCATAACACCAAGTTGAATGTATACATCAAAGTGTTTAAACAGACTGCTAGTGGTAGCGCCAAATGATTATCCATTTATTTCAGTATTTGTTTTTTTCAAATGTGACCTAAAATCTATAAGTAATTAGTTATTGTACTGGCTGCAGTGTCGCAAAATGCTTTGCTTCATTTTTTATTCAGGCTCAGAGCTGCAACTCCAGAATCATTCCAGTCACATCAGCCTTCAAAGGTCTAAATGGGGAGGAAGGGGGGCTAATGCCTTAATATCTTTGAGATTTGCAGGAATATTTGAGGATTTTCTGGGGATTCAGTGCAAGATGAAAAAAGAAGAGTTTTGCAGGCAAATAGAGGAACTTATGCCTCCAGTTCAAAATGAAAGATACATCCAAATGCAGAGATTTAAATGTTAAAGTGCTAAATAAACATTGCTATTCAACAGTGGTCTTTGTCTTTTGAGTCCTAGGTTAAAACTACTTCACAGGGTCTATAAAAGCTCCTTGCTCATCTTTGTAGAAGCTAAATGAATTTTAGCAGTGCAAGTTCCAAAGTGAAAAAGAAATTCTACCTAAATCCCCCCCAAACAACTGAGGTGCCACACAGGGGAAAGGCAGAAGATGACTTTTGGGACTGTAAGGTAAGTATGACTTGTGAATAAGAAAGTAGTACACAAATTGCACGTATCCCAGGGCCACTTGGTGGTATTTTATGTAAGTACAAATAAGGAAGTAGTGATGTGAAGGGGCTGGTTCCACTCCAACAGGGTATCAAAAATGCAACGGCAGCTCTGCAATGACCTTGTATCTTGCTGCCTTAGGAAATCCTGCTGGAGTCAAGGGATTCAGAGGGCTTTCAGGCTTGGGCCATAAATCACTCAAGAGATGAATTACTGCCTTATTAGAGCAGCTTCATAACTGTAATTCCAGATAAGTGCACAATTAGTCTGATCTCTTCTGATAACATGCCAACAGGAAAAAAAAAACGTCATCTCCTGCTAAGCTGAATGGCTATTCAAAGGCACTGCAGCAAACTTTCACAGATGTTGAGGCCAGCGGGACCATTATAATAATCTCATCTGACCTTCTGTGTGGTACATGGCAGAAAATCTCACTCAGGAGCTCCTGCATCATCCTGGAACTGCGGCTTGCTTACCAGGAAAGTGCCTTCTCTTAGTTTGAAGCTTTCTGAAGGCAGAAAGAAACCACCATGAGAAATCACTGTGTTCTAAGAAACCACCATGTTCTTGGCACATGAGTTATCCTACTAGTTCTCTCCTAGTAACTTCACTCTTAACCTGTGCTGGTGCGCTGGGAGTGAGCCGAGGTGCTTGAGTTGAGTGTTGAGTTGAGGCATGCAGGAAGAAATAGCAAGGAGAATAAGTGGACAAGGTGGATAGGTGGACAAGGTGAACACATGAAAAAGATGGTCACAAGGGCATGTGAGCCCTCCTCTCACCCACTGCCCAAGCAGATGGACAGGAGACCTTGCCGACTGCTCTAGCACTGAGTGGCTGGATGAAATAATGTGAAATGACTGCTGTCATTAAAATGTGCTCTGCATAGCGCAGTGCTGGTGACTCGTCTGTCAGCCTGATGTGGTCAGTCCTGTGCCCAGAGTGGTTTTAATGGGCAGGGAGAAAGTTGCTCTTTCTTCCTCACTGCATTTTTTTGGTGCTCGAATTCATTCAAACTAGATTCAAGACAGAGCAAAAGTTTTCCTTCATACAGTTAACTCCAGAAAGCCCACAGTCAGATTTTGGAAAACTACTGTACCTGAGAAAGGGGCACATCCAGACAGAGGTGCAATCACACTTGCTGGAGCTTAGGGAGAAGAGGAATGCTTGGTACATGCCAAGATCAGGCTGGAAGTGCCCTCTCTGGTTTTAATTCCATTTGGCATCCAAAAAGAAATTACTGGAAGGTTCTTGCCAGCTGAGGCTCACATGAGCACTGGGATTGCGCTGCTGTTCTGGTGGTGCATCCTTCTGGTTTTAAAAGAGATATTCTGAATTCATGGAGTGGAGCTTTGTGGGCATGGAAGACCTTCAACACACTTCTGAGGCACTCTAGTCATTTTCTAAGTGGAGATAGGATCAAACTAAATGTCAGTGGCACTTTTGGATGAGTAACAGCTAATTCAGATTACCCATGGCCCTGAGATGAGGATCCCAGGGCTAAATAACAGGGGCATATTTCCCAGATGTGGGTAAAGACTGTTGACTTAACTTGCAAGACTATAAAATTTCTTCAGTAACAATCAGGGACAGACTCCTATAGCAGTGCTGGAGGGATGGGAAATACCCTGTCTCTGAAGATTTAGTTATTGCTATCAGCCTTCAATAGCTGCACAGTGCTGTAAGTGGGTCTGCCTGCAGTTAGCAGATAGATGGGCGGAGGAAGAATATCCTTCACTTCTCCTGTGTTTATATTCCAGAACTGCAAGGCTAAGGGTGGGAAAATCCCCTACTTCCAGTTTAGTTTCTTCAGAGGCCCTTTCAAGGCATGAATAGGGCATGAGAAGGGAGAGAAGCATCTCCTTTCACCACAGGCTACTGTGGTCACAGTCCTCTGGGGTTTTCCACCTCATGGACTGGGAAATGTGGGGAGAAAAAAAATCACTTTTTCAACATTTTCTCTTTGTTGCTCCCGGAGGTGCAATGCCACTTCTGATTACAGGCCAGCATGTCACTGTGGCCTGCTCCTGCATGACACACCGTGACCCCATGGGGCAGATGCAGCTCACTGAGGAGGCGAGGATGAGATGTGTGGTCTGGGTAAACACGTGGGGCTTGGTTCAGTGAGGGGGTCCTGGGTGACAAGACTTCAGCAAAAGGCCTCCAAGCATCACCCAGCGCAGGAGATGGAGCAGGGAGCTGTGACCTGGGTCACATCTGCAGCTGGTAGAAATCAACATTGCTGTGTTGATATCTGGGGAGCTACGTGGATTGGCTCCTGCTAAGAATATGACCTCTTTTTGTCCATTTCTTGTTTTGCACAGCCCTCTCAAGCACTGCTCAGCTCTCACAAAAGCTGTCATAATGATATGCTACATTCACTTCAGCTTTAAATGTATTTTCCAAGTGCCAGTCCACTGTCCCCAGTATCTTCTCTCACACACCTATAAAAACCATTCCTTTTGAGCATGGGCACTTCTCCAGCGGTGGGGTGAAACTTATCCTCTATATAAATTATAAAACCATGGAATCATTTGAGATGGAAGGGACCTCTAACGGCCATCCTGTCCAACTCCCCTGCAATTAACAGGGATAGCTACAGATGGATTAGGTTGCTCAGAGTCCGGTCCAGCCTGACCTTGAATGACTCCAGGGATGGAAACATGAAATCCATGATGAATCAGACAGGCTGCTGTGCAAAGGCAAGAGCTCCAGAGTGAGCATCTCTTCAGAGATTCCCAAATTTGCCTCATCTAGAAACACACAACACCAGAAAAGTAAGGAGTAACATGGATTTTGGACCCTGACATGCTCACTGGACTATGAGTACTTCTTCAGGCTGTGCTTTCTTTATCACAGAGAATCCAAATGAAAATTCCACCAGGATGGGTTTTTACAACAGGGAA